TTCCTTTTTATCAGTACCAGGGATCGAACTCACGACTGCCTGCTTGCAAGGCAGGTGCTTATGCCGCTGAGTTAAATCCCCAGTCCCCTCAATTAAAACATTTATCACAGCAAAACATGGAATTGCCGTAATCCCCCTCAAGATACTACCGGCATTCAAGCACACCCACACTATCGACTGTGGCACTTTCTCGAGCTATTCTGGAAATCTTGTTTCATGAGAGTCTTTACAACTTGTGGTCCAAAATGCTGTGAATGTTGCTGCCCAGGGCCACCCAGGAGAAGGGCAGGCTGGGGAAATCACCTCCGTGTGTAACGGGGAAGGAAAGAGGAACCCAGATGGATCACATACAGGTACACACTCTCTGTGGTGAATGCAATCGTTATCTAAACCTAAATTGTATCAATAAACTTAATGCTTAAAAAACACCATGGTGTGTCCACGTCCACCTTACTCATCCAGTCTGGCGCCCCGTGACTTCTAGCTCTTCCCCAAAGTCAAAATGCCCATGAAAGGGAAACACTGAACCGATTCAGGTGTGTAGCGATACCAACCTGAACACGTCCATCTCATCTGAATGGAGTCGGGGCATCCGGGCAGCTGCGACACTGCAACTGTCAAAGGAGGACTTCCAGGGCTGCTTCAGAAAGCGGCAAGAATGGCAGGAGCAGTGCGTGTGAAGCAGAGGCAGGGGTAGGGAGGCATGTTTTGAGACGTTTAATGGCAACGTGTGCTTAACTGCAATACATATTTTATTTAAACAGATTTTTTTCAATCACACCTCATGCTTGAGATTTGCTAATAGAGTGGATCTTTAGTGTTCTCACGACACCAAAAAGGGGGCGGTGGTCTGGGAGTGTAAACATGTGCCCAGAGCTGTACACCTTACCTGGACACAGTCTTTGTCAGTGAGTCCTCATAAAGCTGGGTGTTGAGAAGAGGGTCCCCTCCGCCTACCCGGCCCCCTGCAGTCATACCCATCTTTCTCTGACTGCCTGCACCCACCAAACTCCTCCCTCCTCCCAGCTCCTCTCATGCATAAAAACAGAGCCACTGTTTGTGCATAATTATACCCTTCTTATTTATTCAAAGCCCGTGTGTGTCACGTCTCGTGGACTAATTTGTGCTCATTAAGTGCAGAGACGGTCTCTGCGAGCTGTGTACGTGTCAGGCTGACTCATTCATTCATTCATTCATTCATTCATCAGATACTTCAGTGTTTACTGCCTCCCGGACTTCGTGGTAGAAACTGAAATACACAAACTGAGGCGGCAGACTCAACAGGGTTCCTGCATGGTTTTGCGATAGAAAAACAACCCAAAAAATCACATAGCTCAGTGTGCCATTACCCAGAGTGCCCTGGTGCAGAACAGGAAGATGGTTCCTCAAAATATTACACACAGAATTGCAACCAGCATCGCAAAATAGAACTATAAGAGTTAAATTTAGAGTCAAGCAGCTTCTTCTAACCTCCTCAGGTCTAGGGCACAAACAGCCACCTGCTTGTGGCCTCAGCCCAGAGGAAGGGATGGAAGATGCATGTCCTGGCCCTGGAACCAACTTCATTCCCTTGGGTGCGCAGGGCTGGACCACCAGGTCTTAGGGCTCCACCCCCCTCCCTCTCCTGCTCCTGGCTGAGGCAGACCTGACACCTATGCAGGTGATCTAAGATAAGTGCACCCTTCCATCTCCTCTGCATGAGCTTGGAATAAGTCTTGTTTTTTATAACAAATAAATGGCCTCCTCTGATTTGATCAGCAGGGAACAAACCAACTTGAACATGTGAGCCTCAACCACCAGCAATCCCAGCAGTAGGCATAGATCCGAGGACACAGCAGCAGCCTTCTGGAGAGATACTTGCACTCTTGTGATCATTACAGCACTACCCACAACAGCTCAAATGTGGGGGTCACACAAAGGCCTGTTGATGGGGAACGGAGTAATCAGAATGTGCTTATCTACAATGGAATAGTATTCAGCCTTTAAAAAGGAAGGAAATCTTGACATCTGCTGTAACTGAGCCTTGAGGACATTATTCTAAGCAAAATAAATGAAGCACATTGGGCTGGTATGGGAGCACATACCTGTAATCCTGATGCTCAGGAGGCTGAGGCAGGAGGATCACAAGTCTGAGACCATCCTACGTGACACAGTGGGTTCCAGGCTGGCCTGAGCAACATAGTGAGATTATCTCAAGACACCAAAAAAACCAAAATATTCTGGAGGTGGGTGGTGACAGTGCTTGCACAGTAAGATGAATGTACTTAATACCAGGAATGTAACCCTAAAGATATTGTGCCAGTAAATGTTGCTTTGTTCTGATTTGTTTTGTTTTGTTCTGATGTGTTTTGTTTGGAGACAGTGTCTCGCTGTGTAGTTCAGGCTGGCCTTGAGTTCACTATGAAGCCCAGACTGACTCACGGCAATCCTCCTGCCTCAGCCTCTGAGTACTTTGGGGATTACAGGCCTGAGCCACCACAGCCAGCCAAGTGGCAAAGTTTGTGTTGTGAATATTTTATCACAATTAAAAGTTCTTTTAAATAACAAAAATAAGATGACGCCTGAGGTAAGAGCATGAGCATCGAAGTTACCTGGGAAGGGAGCCATCAATAGGAACAATTATTTTTACAAGGATAATAAGCAGCAAGGCCCCTCAGGGCCATAGCTTGATGAGGAGGCCCTAAAAATGCACTGGGGGAAGGACCAACCAGCCCCAAACTGAAAGCTTCCGCAGCGCTGGGAGACAGGCAGAGCAGGAAAGGTGAGACCGGAGCTGTCCTAGGTCTTCGGCTTCCTGTGTCCCCGCGAGGCGCCCAGAGCCTGGGCAGGAGACTGCTCCCGCTGGCGCTGGGTGCACAGCAGCTTTGCAGTGGAAGCTCAGGGGCGCCCTAGGCGGTGCGCCCGGGTCCCTTAGCTGTTATACACAGCCGGCTCCACGCTGCACCCGGGAAGTGGGCCCGCGGCCCCCCCTCCCCGGGAAGCCCTCCTGCCCGTGCTGCCTCGCCTCTTCCTGGCCTGCTGTAAACGAAATGAGAATTTTAGAGGCGCATTTCCAACCCAAACACTGCGCAGTAGCTGTGGTGGCCCCAAGTCTGCGACCCTGAGGCATGGAGAGGCTAAAGGGGGATGAGGGTGAGGCTGGGGCACCGGACTCAGGACTCAGCCCGAAGCCAGGGTTCCGGGTCCTGGATGTCTGGGGCCAAGAACAAACCTGGGGGCTTCTCTCGGGGCAACGACTGCACAGGCCGTGGGCCCCAGTTCCCTGCAGCCCAGAGAGCAAAGACCAAGACTCGGGGCACTGCGGGTCTGCGGCCGTGCAGTGCACACCAAGAGCTGGCCTGGTGGACGCCAGGTGCTGAGTTCAAGCTCCTCCTCTGCCGCTCACTGGAGTAAGTTTGCCCGTCTAAGTTCCAATCCTTTCCTCTACACCATTTCTCAAAGTCTTGACAAGATGAGCTGTACTGTGAGAAGCTAGGTTTGTCGTCTTTGGTTAAAAGGAAAGTTTTGTACTATTATGTTTCTTTCTTTCTTTTATTTATTTGTTTATTTTTAGTCAGGGTCTTGCTGTGTAGTACAGGCTGGCCTTGAACTCACTAATGAAGCCCAGGTTGGCCTCAAACTCTCAGGGATCTTCCTGCCTCAGCCTCCTGAGTGCTGAGATTGCGGGTGTGCTCTGTAACACAGGGTTTGTTTCCCTTTTTTTGTAAGAATTTTTTTGGTTTATGTCTTGCACCCTGAGTGACTACTGTGACGATAACCACACACATTGTATCAATTATTGTTGTTCTCTCATTAGTTTGTAATAAAATTTCATTTTTCACTTTAAAAAGTTAAGGTAAAAGAAATACGCATACACACACAAAACAGGAATGTAGTTCAGGGGCATGTATGAGGCACTAAAAGAAAAAAAAAAGAAAGAAAGAAAAAGGAAAGTAAAGAATCACAAATTGATATACTGGCTTTATGTAAAATGTTGATTTTTTTCATGAGTGATTTTTTGCATTGATTTTTACTTTTTAAATGTTGCATTAAAATGTTTAAGTTTGTTACTGAGTTGGGGTGTCTGGGGGATCCCTCCCTTAAATTTTATACTGGTTTTACTCTGCCTTCCTTCCCCCATCTGGCTGAGGAGTAGACAAGGAATGTGTGCAAAGGCAGGAGACCTGAAGACTTTCCAGACCACCTGCAGGCAGCACGCACGGGGAACCAGGGCCTGAGTCTGGGCTGCTGGGCACAAGGACACACTATCCATGCTGTGTTGCCTCGTAAAAACTTAGAGTCTCACTGGGTTTTGTTTTTTTCTCCTTTGGACCGAGGCCTTACTATGTAGCTCACGCTGGCCTCCTGCCTCAGCCTCCAGAGAGCTGGGATCGTGGTGTGCCCTGCCATGCCTGGCCCTTCCCCAAGGCTACAGAATAGTGTAGGAGGCTGATGCGCTGGGCTCTCGAAAGCTCAAGAGCAATGAGCTGTGTGCTCTGACTCATTTGAATTCTTCCCCTGCTGACTCCTTTGCACGCTCACTCAGAAGGCGATGGGCTGTGGGTGCAGGAGCCTTCTTGTGGGTGAACACCCTGAGGAAGCCAGGGAGGGTCAGGGGGCTCACAGAAGCTCCCTGCTGGCCTATGCTGATGCTTTCTGAGCTCGGGCTCTATCTTGGTCACATTCTGGTCACCAGGACATAATACCTAGCACCTAGAGTTTACAGGAGGAAGGAGTTTTTGTTTTGTTTTGGGATTTTGGTATCAGGGATCAAACTCAGAATCTCTTGCTTGCCAGGCAGGCACTTGTGCCCCTGAGCTAAACTCCCAGCCCAAGGGGCCATAACAGTGTACTCAGCATGATCTACACAATGGTGCTAATCATTTCAAGGCTTTGTTTGCTAGCTCGAGATAATCTGCTGTCAAGCTTAACCTACATCCTGCCAGGCAATCTTCGATCTTCAACGCTAACTTGACCTGGTGTCATTCGCTTTCTGGGAAACAGTCTGGTTCACTTGGACATGAAGTCAACATCACAGCTTTATTGAAATCCACAGCTAATAAGTGTTTAATCCAATTATCACTGGATTGGTTACAGAAAATTCCTTCATGCCACATTTGCTGTGACACTCACCGGTAATGAACTGTTGCCACGCTGGTGCACCGGGGGATGAACTCCACACAGAACATCAGACCATTCTGCAAACATGGTCACCTGGGTACCTTGGCCTCCCGAGTGCAATTCTACCACCTGAGGATCAAAAACAACAGCAAAAATGAAGTCTGCAGTCATCATGGACAGGCCTTTTTCCGGTCTTGTTCCCTAAACAATCCAGTGTAACAGCAATCTGCATGGTATTTACATTGTTTTAGGACTTACAAGTCATCTGTAGATGATTTCAAGATGCAGGTAGGGGGTTGGGGACAATTTAAAGCAGCAGCAGCCTAGATGCCCTGCATGCCCAGTTCACAGGAGGGTTCCAGCTCCTAAGGGGATCCAGCACCTCCCAAGCTGGTCTCACAGGAGGGGAGGCTCAGGCTGTGACGGGCAGGACACGGGCTGCTGTCAGTACAGGCAAAGCTCCTCTGGCCTCGCTGTGGCTCACCTCCTGCCGAGCAGCCCAGTCCTAATCAGTCGTGGCCCCCAGGATTGGGGACCCTTGGGTTAAGTAACTTGCTAGTAAAACAGGGAGTCAGGATTTGAACTCAAGAGCGCTAGCACTCTGACACTAGGTCTCAATCTCAACCCCTTACAATATTAAGTCCTTTACATAAAACGGCATAGTATTAAGGCGTAGCCCACACCCATCCTCCCCGGTACTTAAATCATCTCCAGATTACTTTTCCTAAGGCAGTGTAGATACTGTGTGCATAAACTGTTACACTGTATTGTTTGAGGAATGACAAGAAAAACATCTGTAATGTTTAGTACAGACTCTTTAAAAAAAAAAAAAAACCTTTTTTTCTTGAGTCAGCCTCACCATGACTGGTATGGAACTTGTGATCCTCCTGCCTCAGCCTCCTAACATGCAGGGATTACAGATGTTAGTTACTACTCCTGACTTAAAAAAAAAATACCTCCCTTGCATTTGGAAGCTATGCCCCTGGAGGGCCAAGGAAGACAGGGCTAGAAAAGCACCTAGCAGATAGGACAGGCTTACTGACGGCTCCCTGATGCCTGCTTGACCTTACTTGCCATGGATCCAGACGTGGGCACCTGTGACCACCGGCAGGTCAGTTGCTGCTCCTGACTGCATGGAACTGAGTAGCCCTGCCTCCAGGGGTGAGGCACCATCTCTGCCACCAGCAAAGGCAATGTTAACTGCATTCTTGTTGGTCTCCACCAGCTGGACCATGTGTTCTACTGTTAGAGATGAATTCTGGCCGGGTCTGGCAAAGTTTTCAGTAAATGCAGAAAAAAGGAAGGAAGGGAGGGAGGGAGGGAGAGGAGCAGGGGGAGGGGAGGGCAGGGAAAGCAACTTGGCTCCCCAACCTTTCCATGGAGACATCTATTTTGCTGAGAAGCCAAGCCACATAAACAAAGCGCCTATCGTGACCCACCAGGGTTTAGAGCCAGAGCCAAGAATCGGCCTGGTGACAAAGCATTTAGCTCAGAAGCTCTCTGGGCACCCAGCTGTTGAATCTTTCCCAGAACCCCACTGGCAACAGGCTCCTCTGTGACTAGAAAGCTTCTTATTTGGATGCCAAGGGACAGAAGACTGTGGGGCATGGAGGGTGCCTGCAGGCAGAGGCACCAACTGCCTGAGGAGGTCACCCTGGGGGTGACCAACGTGTCATTTGTACAGCCAGTCCTGTGGTCTCTCTGCCATGCCTTTAGCACCCTTATCAAAGTCACCACCACCATGTGGGCAGAGGTGTTTCTCTGGTTATTGCCAACTGTTTCTAATCTACTAAAATCAACTAATAATAAAACGCATGACGTTCATGACTTACCAGCCAGAAAGCCACACAATGGAGTGGACCACTTGCTTAATACTTTTATGACAGAGTGTGCATATGACCTTGCAGCTTGGTGCCAGTTACATTTCTATTTACATGGAGATGGGGGACAATTAGAACATTTATCTCACTTAGTCACTGGTCACTCCCATCCCCAGCCTTCCCCTCCCTCTTCCCAAAAGCCATGAAAAAACGTTTTCATTATGAGCCGATATCTGTGGTTGAAAGCAGCTATTTTTAAAAAATGATGTCATGGAGCCTAGAATGCGACATTGTGCTGGCTTCGGAAAGCACTCAATGGGCCTTTTGCTGCTGCCTGTTGCTGTATGTTAAATGAGCACTGAGCAACCTTCTCCCCCTTGGCCCCGTGCTGCTTCTTATTTTCAGAACTGCTATTTGACATCTAGGGAAACTTCCATACATTCACACTCTTCGTATCCTCTAAACAGTGTGTGTTTGCACATCGTACAGTGTACACATATAGCTGTCCTAGTAATCCCGTAGGGGACGTCAAACTGCCACCTCTCTAACGCCAACTCAGAAAAATACTTTTGTGATACAAGCATTTACTATAGAGATGGTTCCCAACTTGACAATGGTTGAACTTGTGATTCTGTTCAACTTTACGCCACTATAAAATTGAGAGGAACTGGGTAGAAAGCTGTACTATTCACAAAGCTTCTCTACTTATATATCGGAACTGTTTGTGCTACAAAGCCTGAATAAATCCCAAAAACTGAATTGCTTTCTATGAGGTACCCGCCCCCCAGGAATAGAAAATGTGGACTTTGGAATTTTTTGTAAGAGGAAATAAAAATAATAATCTTCCCTACCAAAAAAGTCATCATGTAGCAACAAGTATTTGTTGTCGTCCTGTATAGCATGGAAAATTTTCTTCAGAAGTTAATTTCTAGCTGTACTCATTCAAACAATGAGAGGAATAAGTTGTACTTTTACAAGCGTAGAATTTTGGGGCTGGGGATTTAGCTCAGCGGCATAAGCGCCTGCCTTGCAAGCAGGCAGTCGTGAGTTCGATTCCTGGTACCGATAAAAACGAAAAAGACAAAAAAAAAAAAAAAAAAAAAAAAAAAACAAGCGTAGAATTTTATGTGAGAAATATACAGAAACTCACATTTACTGCTAGCTTAGAAAATCATCTTGGTGTCTCAAGGACCTGTGGCCTAAATGCCATGTTTGCCAAGGTGCAAGTCCTCTGTGTCTGTGCAACCCCAGTGGTGCATGTGCTATGGGTGTGAACCTCTGAGACACAGAATTGGTGCCTGGATCTAGGTTGGAGGGAGAGCCTAGAAATTCACACCTTGCCTGAATACTCTGCAAAGAGCTTCCAGTTTTATTCAGCACCATTTTCCTCCCCTGTCCTTCGCCTGTAGAGGTACACATGTGTACATGTGCACACTCACACGCACATACACACACATATCCCTGCACTCTTTCCTCTCCCAAACTTTTTTTGTTGTTGTTGTTGTTCTCAGAGCAGGAAATAAATCCTCTAGCCTCACACTTTCGAGGTGAGAACTCTACCACCGTGCTGCCCCTCCAAATCCAAGCGCGGTTAGCCTCTTGCTTGAATGAGTTCCCGGCTATAGCTTTAAATTAAGCCTCATGGCTCCTGGGTCTCTTAAATCTCCCTGCCGCAGCATGGGTCAGAGAGGGACTGAGGTCTTCTCACCAGCTCACCTCACTGCTCCCTGACACCGTGTAGACCCTGCTCACACATCTGTCCCCACCCATGGACGTCGTCTACACATCTCGCCCAGGGCGCGCTGTGTTTATCGTTGAACTGAATTCTGCATTGGTTTCGGTCACTTCACTGCATAGTCAGCCAGTGTCTTGAAGCTCTCGGTTTTGGCATCTTCTTTCCCAGCCACTCAGACATCCACTGACTCAACCCACACCTGCAGGACCTCTGAAATCTGGAACCAAACACGTGCCTGTCCTTTCTCATCCTCCTGCATTTCAGCAACCTCACTGTCTACGGCACAAAACCAATCGCCTCAATCCTTTGCTCCTTCAAACAATAAAAATGTATTAATTCACAGTCTCTGCAAGGAGGACCCACTCCTTCAACCCTTCAGTTGAATGGTCCTGATTTAAGGTCACCCGGAATTTGCAACCTAGATGTCTCCCAGTGCCGGACAGAGCCATGCCTGCCTTAGCCCAGTCACACCTGAGCAGTCAGTGTTGGCTGCGGGCAGGAGGCCATGGTTCCTCGGCCCTGGACCTCTCCACAGGAACCGTGGAGTGTCCGCAAGACATGGCAGGGACAGCCCGCCCCCAGCAAACACTCTCCCACAGGGCCAGCCAGCCCCACAGTGCCTTCTGTGTCCCAGCCACTTCTGCTTCTCTTTCTACCGGTTAGAAGGGAAGCGCTAAGACCAGCTCACATGCAAGAGGACGGGAGTTAGGTTTGACCTTTTTTTTTTTTTTTTTTTTCTCTTACATTTCTTGAGAAGGTTTGACCTTTTGAGGGAAGTAAACATGTTCAGCTCATCTGTCCTTCCTTCCTTCCCTCCTTCCTTCCCTCTCTTCCTCCCCTCCCTGCCTTCCTTCTTCCTCCCTTCCTTCCTTCTTCACATTACACCTGATCTTTCTTCACTGTGATTATTAGTCCTTGAGGTTTCCGGTTTCTGTAACCCTTTGTGTTTTCACTTCCTCCTGAACCTCACCTCTCCCTCTGGTCTGCGGATCCCTTGCCGGTCTCCACCCTCCTTTGTCGCTTTTGTGACCCTGGGGAAAAATGAGCTTTGCTTCTGTCCCTGTTCACCTGGCCCACCACTCAGAGCAAGAACTGAGCTCATTATCATCCGCACACCCAGTGCCTCCAGTGCCTCAGTGCAGCACCTCAGTGCCTCTGTCTCCAAGTCACCTGTCGCCACAGTGGCCCCTCCAGGTACCACCCCTGCACCCTTTACCACCCAGTCCTGTTCATCTGGGTTCTCACTTCTCAGGCCGCGAACAGAGCCTCTCATTTTCTTTGCCTCCTTCTAAACCCGCATAACAGCTCTGTCCCTTGTTGTCCCTTTCGGGCACTGTGGCCAGCGTGGAGCACTGTCTTATCTAAGTTCTCACCCTGATGTTAGGGACCCCGAACCACAAGAACCAAGGGAGGAGGAAGCGAAAAACCAGGCTGAGCATGAAGGGAGAAAGCAGAGATGGAGGCCAGTCAGCTGTGCACGCATTGGGGCTGCACGAGCAGAACTGTGGGTGCCGAGAATGGGACCTGGGCACAGGCAGCCAGACCGTGAGCCGCTGACTAGAGGTTGTCCCCGGTAGACTTAGACTGTCCATCCGCATCCAGTCACCCAGGACCCCTTCCTTACAGCAAAACAGTCCTTGTCAGCTCTGCCCTGGATGTGGCAATGATACAACCCAAGCCTTCAAGGGGCAGACTCTCAAGGAGCATGTGTGTCAAAAACAGAGTGAAACTGGGCATGGTGGTGCAACCTGCAATCCCAGCACTCAGGAGGCCTCAAGGCAGGAGGATGGAGGCAAGCTCATGGCTAGCCTGCACTATATAATGAGATTCTGCCTCAGAAAAACAAATAAATAGCCCAATCCCACCACTCTGGGAGGCCTCGGCAGGCAGGGGATCTCCAGGTCAAGCCCAACCTGTTGATCTCAAAATGAAGATCAATAATAATAATACTGTAAACAACAGTGACAAAAGAGCTTGGAATGTAGCTCAGTGCAAAGGTCCTAGGTTCAATCCACAAAACCAAAAAGAAAGCAAGAAAGAAAAATGACAGGGAAAAAAAAAAAAAAGAGCCAGAACTCTGGCCCCATCACCTCCACCACCCCCTTGGAGCCTCCCTGAAGCTCTGACCTTCTCTTTCCTGGGTCTTCAGCCCCCCGCCCCCAATCCCAACTCCTCCCACCACATTTCCAGGTGCTCTGGCTTCCTTTATCCTAAAGGAAATGCCCCCCTACCTCTGTCTACCCCTTCCTTGGGTTGCCCAAAATCTCCACATCAGAAGGTATGGAAAGTGACAGAGGAGCCCTCCCTGTCCTTCACGTGGGCACCCAGGCAGGCCACTAACTGGCTCTCACTGACCTCCATGCCACAGTGCAGCAGCCACCTTCTCATCATTTCTTCATCCCAAGGTCCTTGCTCCGCTGGCACATGGGACACATGCCCTCAAAGGTCTTGTCTGGGGCCGGGGATATAGCTCAGCAGCACAGCTCCTGCCTGGCAAGTGTGAGGTCATGAGTGACTCCCAGTGCCAGAAAAAAAAGGTCCAGATTTCCATGGCTGCACGTTTTGCCTCTGCCACTGGGTGGGAACACTGGGCTCCTCTGCAGCCTTCTTCCCTTGCAGAGCTCTGTCCCTGCCCCTGGCTGTTAGTAGCATGCAGAAGCTGATCAATAGCAAGCCCACACTTCTTCCTTGAACGCCAGGCTCACGACACCACTACCCATGAGGCAAATAGCCCTGGAGATCCCATAGTCCTGAGCACTGTGTGGGACAACAAAGTAAGTGGCTGAAAATTGCAGAAGGTTCTAGTTCTGGCTGTGCCACTGACTGGCTGTGAGGCTTTGACAGATGAGAACTTCTGAGAGCCTCAGCACCCTTTCCAATAAAATGGAGGATAATGAGAGAACCCAGTTTAAGTTCTTGACAGGGACCCAGGAAGGAGGCACCAAGTCCTCAAACTGATTTGTGATGGCACACAGAAAACATTTGGTATCATTGCATCCCAGGGTGAACTCATATGCCGGGCCTCTCGGTGTCACTCTGAGAAGCCTGCTCACCTCCAAAATCTCCCACAATGTCTTAGTCACTTTCCCATCGGTTGGGATGTAACACTTGACACCTACCACTTCAAGGAGGAGAGATTTCATTGACTCTTGGTTTTGAGAGATTCAGTGCATGGTGGGCTGGCTGACTTCACGGCAGAAACAGCGTGGTGGAAGGGCATGGCAGAGGACAGCCATCTACCTCATAGCAGCTGGGAAGCAGAGAGAGAAGAGGAACCTTCCATGTCACACTCCCAGGCACACCAGGCTCCACTTGGAGGGATGAACCCACTGATGAGTATGGCGCCCCATGATCAATCACCTTACCGAAGCCCTGCCTCTGAACACATGAGACTTGTGGGGGATATTCTAGATCTAAACTATAACAGCAAATAGAGTCTTTCTGCTCCTGTTTCCCTATTCCCTTCCCAAGCCATTAGCAGGTTCTAATTGTTTTGCTTTTAACCCCTCTTTTATTGATTCACGTCTGTTCAGCTTGGGTCTACCCAGTAAGTGTTTTGTGATATACTGAGCATTTGTATCCACTCTAAAGTTCTAGTTTCCCCACCATGTGATGGTGTCATAAGGTTGACATGACGAGAGATGGAGCCATCATGAGTGGGATGTACACCTTTATAAAAGAGACCACAGATGGCTCTGCAGCTCTGTTTCTCCCACACAAGTGGGCCCTTATTAGATAGCAAAATCTGCTGGTGCTTTGCTCTCGGAATTCCCAGCTTTCAGAAGCATGCAAAATAGAACTGTGTTGTTTACGAGCCCCTAGTCTGTGGTATTTTCTGCCACTGCAGTGCAAGCTCATTACAACATGTCTCTTCCCCTTAGGGCTGAACCTTCTACCTGGTCTCTCTGCCTCTAGCCCTGCCCTTGACCAATCCATTCTTCACACTGCAGCAAGAGTGATCGTCCAAGATGCGAATCCAATCATGTGATTTCCCTGTGGGCCTTGTATTGCCCCTGGGCTAAAGTCCAAGAATCTAATTGGATTGCAAAGCCATTTAGGCTATAAACTTGGCTTTTCTCTCCAGAGTCAACTCCAGCTTCCCATTACTTTCAGTTTCCAGAAACTGGTTTTTCTTTTTAGCCTCGATGCGTCCTATGATTCTCCTCACCTCACCAACCATCTGTCTTCTCTGTGTCCTGGATGGCCTGGCTTGAGGAAGTTCATCTGGCTGCTCCCCTAGACAATCTAGTGTGTGCCCCCAATTTAGTATCCTAGTGCCATGAGGACTTTACAAAATTACAACAGTCCCATAGTTTATTTCTGCTTATTGCTTCCTTTCTTTATACCAGAAAGTTCATCAAGAAAGGTTAAATGGGCCAGGTATGGTGGCACACACCTCTAAGCCCAGCACTTGAGAGGCTGAGAGGAGGATCAAGACCAGCATAGTGAAATCCTGTCTCAAAAAAACGATTAGATATAAATGAGCCACAAATAAACAGCTGCACTTTCTCCTGGTCTGTGGCACTATTCTTAAGGTAATTGGGTAATTACCAGCTTCTCTCTAAAACACAGTGCAATGAAAACATAGAGAACTGGGAGCACTGAGTTAAATCCTGTCTTTGCCATTAAAGTTAAAGCAACTCTAGCTTTGTGGTCCCTCACTGCTTTATTTGCTATTCCAGAATCAGACAGCACTGTGGACCAAAAGTGGTTGAGAATACCCAGCCCAGCCACATGGGTAGATTATATTTATAGCCAAGAGAAGGAATGACATACAGAAAAAACAGAAAGGAGGTACAGAGGCAGCGCAATTGTCTGCAGCTCTTGTCTGCCTTATTTGAACATGGTTTAACAGCTGGCCCCCTTGCAATTGGCTGGGACTCAGCACTCCTTACAAAAGGAGATGACAGTCTATCTATATCTCAAGTTGTCTTGCAGCTCATTACTTACGGAGAAATCTTTGGGCCAAAATAAGTATGTGTGGAAGCATTTCTAGGCCAGTCTTCATTCAAATGCCAATATAGTTCCAACTCTTTTCTTTTAGGTTCATGGCTTGTCCCCTTTCTTGCCTCCAGCTCCCTCGTTCCCTTTTCCCTCCTCCCTTTCTCTCAGTTCGGCTGGGACACCCAATCTCTCTTTTAACCTCTTTCTCATGGATCTCAGCATGCCCTTGCTCAAAGGGTTGCTGATCATTAAGGATGAACTCAGAGTCCGAGCTGACACTGACTCTTTGAGTGTTGGTTCATTTCGTCAGCAGGGCCCACAATTTCTGCCACTCTCGATGGTAGGAAGACTGCATATAGAATTCCAGCAGTGGTCTGTTGCTTTCTAATCTTTTAGCACAGTATATCATTCTTGCTCAGAGACCTCCCCTTCTCTGAGTTATATTTCTCTCCAGGAAGCAATAAACTCTTGAAAGATAGGTAAGGATTAGGAGATTCCTATGAAATAAACACAACAATTTAAGAGGAAAGAAATAACTATTTAAGCATTGAATATGTGTCAAGAGTGCTACATATGTTTCTTTAATTTACTTTTAATAGCAACTGTGGAAGTACATACTGTTTTCCTCTCTATAAACTTAAGAAACTAAATTTCAAAGAAATTAAGTAACTTGCTGGTATGGTTTGAATGCACCCCCAAAAGTTCAGATGCTGAAAGCTTGGTCTTTGGTGTAACAGTATTGAGAGGCTGTAGATGTTTAAAAAAGGGGTCTAACAGAAGATGATTAGGTTAAGGGCTGCTGCCCTTGAAAGGGGTTGTTGTAGTCCTCACAAGCCTTAGTTCTCACGGGAGTGAGAAGTTATAAAGTGAAGCCACCCTACACGCTTGTCCTCTTCTGCCACAGCCATTTCCATTTCAGCTTTTCGACCATGCTGTGAGGAAGCCAGAGAGCCCTCACCAGAGCCACAACCTTGCTGTCTGGATGCTCTAGCCATCACAACTGTGAGTCAAATAAATTTCTCTTATTTTATACAGTACTCAACCTAAAATATTTTGCTATTAGGGACTTAGACATTTGTCTAAGAAGCAGGTAAGTTGTGAATCCAAATCCAGTTCAGAATCTGTATTCCCAAGCTTTGTACAATAGAAAGAGTTTAATTTTTTTACTCTTGTTTGTCCTTTCCAGTCAATCAGAAGTCATTTCTTTCTTCAGGCATGTATCTTAACCCTGTGTCAACTCCACAGCATCTTCATCCACTATAGAAACAGTCTACTTACTAGTACAACTGTACTACTTAAACTGTACCCCAGAGGGGACACATGCCAAGAAATGGGAAATGTAATAATGATACAGCCAGTTTATCAGTCTCTGTAACCACTCAGTTGTTTTTTTGAAACAAAACAATAGTGGCTAAGAAGCAAGCTGGGGCCAGTAGAGAGTGGAGGGTGGAAGAAGGAGGATTTTTAGTGTGGCCCAAGGGAGGTGGCCAGGAACTCAACATCATAAGTCCTGCTACAGCTAACTAACTAGGATACATTGGAAATTCAGAAAATCCATGTAAGACAGGATAAGCTCAAAAACCTTCATCTGCTTAAGACATGGCAGATTATGGAATTTTTTCACCTCTTTCTAAAACATCTCATGCACTTTTGCACTAAGGACCTAAAATGGAATCTATTTCCCTGCTTCTTGAACCTGGACGTCTTGTGTCCTTCTTAGCCAAGCAATTGAAAAGGAAAGTTTAAGCTTAAGGGAATCATTTTCTTCCTGGGAAGGGTGGTGTATGCCAATAATCTCAGAACTCTGGGGGGCTGAGGCCTGAGAATCACAAATTTGAGCCTAGCCTGGGAAACAGTAATTTAGCAAGATCTTAATCTTAAAATTTTAAAAGTCTAGGAATGTAGCTCAATGTGAAAGCCCTGAGATCAATTCCTAGTACTAAAGCCAAAACCCAAAAACTCCATCCCAGTGGAATCCATTTGCTCACCGGTGAGTAAGCTTGAGCTAGCCTTCTGGGTAATAAAAAGCATGCAGCCCCAGAACCCCATTAACCCAGTCTACAAGTGGACAGCACAGGACACCACAGTGGACAGAAGATGCATACTGGAGTCAAATGATGAGCAGCACAGGTGTCTGGTAAACCAGTAATGAAATAAATAAATGGCTGTTGTTTTAAGCCTGTAACTTTTGGTGGTAGCACTAGTTAACGAGTATTAGCACTTTAGGGCTTCAGTGTGATTCTGCTTCATCTTCTCTAAACCATAATAATACAAATACACACACACACACACACAAGTATATAAAGCCACTAAGCAAACACAAGATATGGTCAGAGTAGTGTGTTTAATTTTTTTAAAAGTTTACTACATTAAAAGACATATTGCTATGACCCATCCACAAAGTCCTCCCCCTCACTCTAAACACATTTTCCCACTGTTCTTGCCACTTTCTAAGCAGGTCTGGAAGTCCTCTTTCTGAGGGTCTTCAATTGGGTTGTTGTGGCTGCCTCAATGCACTGAATCCTTCCAAATCGTTTCCCTTTCCTGGTTATTCTGACTTTGGAAAAGAGCTGATGCTGCGTGGCTCCAGATC